TCCTCGTGCTTCTCGTAGTAGGATAACATGGAGGCCAACTTGTGGTTCTCGAAGTAGGATAACAAGAAATTCTTCTTGTGCTTCTTGTAGTAGAATAGCAGGGAGACCTACTGGTTGCTTTCGTAGAAGGGTGATCGGAAGTTCGTCTCGTACTTCTCGTAATAGGATAGCCGGGAGGCTTACTTGTTGAAATCGTAGAATAATCACAGAAAGTTCTTCTTGTACTTCTTGTCGCAAAATAGCAAAAGGACCTGCTTGTACTTCCTGCTGTAGGATGACAGAGCAGTCTTCTCGTTCCTCTCGTAGTAGGGTGACAGGAGGTTCTTCTCGGACTTCTCGTAGTAGGATAACGGGGAGACCTACTGGTTGCTCTCGTGGTAGGATGACAGGAAGTTCTTCTCGTACTTCTCGTTGAAATATAACAAAAAGACCTGCTCGTACCTCCTGCTGTAGGATAACAGAGAAGCCTCCTCGTGCTTCTCGTAGTAGGATAACATGGAGGCCTACTTGTGGTTCTCGAAGTAGGATAACAAGAAATTCTTCTTGTGCTTCTTGTAGTAGGGTAACAGGGAGGCCTACTTGTTGCTCTCGTAGGAGAATGACAGGAAGCTCTTCTCGTACTTCTTGTCGCAAAATAGCAAAAGGACCTGCTTGTACTTCCCGCTGTAGGATAACAGAGGAGCCTTCTCGAGCTTCTTGTAGTAGGATAGCATGAGGGCCTACTTGTTGCTCTCGTAGTAGGATAGCAGAGGAGCCTCCTCGTCCTTCTCGTAGTAGGATAACATGACGGCCTAATTGTTGCTCGTGAAGCAGGATCACAAGAAATTGTTCTTGTGCTTCTTGTAGTTGGATAACAGGGAGACCTACTGGTTGCTCTTGGAGTAGGATGACCGGAAATTCTTCTCGTACTTCTTGTAGTAGGATAACCAAGAGGTCTCCTTGTTGCTCTCGTAGTAGGATGACAGGAAGTTCTTCTCGTACTTCTTGTTGCAAAATAGCAATATGAGCTGCTTGTATTTCCTGCTGTAGGATAACAGAGAAGCCTTCTCGTTCCTCTTGTAGTAGGGTGACAGGAGGTTCTTCTCGTACTTCTCGTAGTAGGATAACCAAGAGGCCTACTTGTTGCTCGTGTGGTAGGATGACAGGTAGTTCTTCTCGTACTTCTGGTTGCAAAATAACAAGGGGGCCTGCTGGTACGTCCTGCTGTAGGGTAACAGAGCAACCTTCTCGTTTCTCTCGTAGTGGGATGACAAAAGTTTCTGCTCGTGCTTCTTCTTGTAGGATAACAGAGGAGCCTTCTCGTGCTCCTTGTAGTAGGATAGCATGGGGGCCTACTTGTTGCTCTCGTGATAGGATGACAAGGTGGTCTACTTGTTGCTCTCGTGATAGGATGACAGGAAGTTCTTCTTGTACTTTTTGTTGCAAAATAACAAATTGGCCGGTTTGTACCTCGTGCTGTAGGATAACAAAAAAGCCTCCTCGTTCCTCTCGTAATAGGAGGACAGGAGGTTCTTCTCGTACTTTTTGTAGTAGGATAACAGGTAGGCCTACTTGTTGCTCTCGTAGGAGGATGACAGGAAGTTCTTCTTGTACTTCTCGTTGCAAAATAACATAGAGGCCTGTTTGTACCTCCTGCCGTAGGATAACAGAGGAGCCTTCTCGTTCCTCTTGTAGTAGAATAGCAGGAAGGTCTTCTCGTTACTCTTGTAGTAGGATAACATGATGTTCTTCTCGTACTTCTCGTTACAGGATAGCACCAAGTTTCTCTCGTACGTTTTGTTGTAGGATAACGAGGGGTTCTTCTTGTACTTCTGGTAGTAGGACGATAGGTTGTCCTTCTCGTACCTCTCGTACTTGGCTGGGTGGGTGTTCTTGTAGCATCTCTAGTAGATAATGTAGTGATCGAAGTTCTGGTTGGGGTCATCGTAGATGTGGGGGGAATATTAATTGTGGTTATTATAACTGTAGTGATGGCCTGACTAGTAGATGGCAGTGATGCCATAGGTGATGTAGTTGTAGATTGAAGCACCGTTGTGAAATCTGGTGGTATTACAGTGGTTGTAGAATGAATGGTGGGTTGCGTTATTGTGGTGGGATGATTGATAGTAATTGGCATTGTTTCTGAGATCGTGATTGGAGCAGTGGATTCTGTTGTTATACTTGAGTGCGTTGATGATGATATTGTGTGGATAGTTTCGCTGGTAGAAGTACTTGGCAATAGCGTTTGTACAGTAGAGCAAAGACATGTGCTGTTAGTAGTCGTAGAGAAGCCTACAGTAGTAGTATGATTAGAAGTTGCTAAGATAAAATTATAGGTTGAAAGCGTTAGTTTGTCAAAGTTCAAGTTAGAAAAAGAAAGACAAAGAAACATTTAAAGAATTGAAAACTCACCTAATGTTGTAGTTTCCTCTGAAAATCGAATAGATACATTTGGTAAGGATGAAGTTCAAAAAGCTAATAAAATGAGAAAAAAATATTGAATTACCTGGACTTAGTGTGGTTGTAACAGCTACCTGAAATAAAGAAAAATAAATGCATTGGTTGAATGTAAGACATACAGCTGTAGTAGTTTCTGGATCTCCAGGATCAGTCTTCATACACGTATCGGTAAGATCACAAACAAAGAAAAAAAACAAAACAACAGATAGTACTCTCATATCTATAAGTTGTTGTATAGCATATAAAATAAGATAATATAATAATATATTTGGAAGAGAAGCGGCCACCGTGTTCACAATCAGACTGTGATGAAGATCGAATTGGAATCTTGTCTTGATTGGCGAATGCAAGAGGAAAGATCGGAAAAAATGCCTCAGCTAATGAATAGTATTTAAGTTGAAAGATAGAAAGAGAGAGAGAGATAGAGATAGAGATGAGATAGAACGAATATACAGGCAGGGTTGAAGAGAAATGAAAAATCTTTCAAAATACAATGTTTCTCAGCATTTCTAAACTCTTATTTCATATATAATTTTATCGCATCACCGTATCTACTGAACCATGGTCATATTCAATGAATCTCGCTTAGAACTCTTCCAATCATATCTTCTATTTTTTCTCTTTTCCTTTGCTACCTCTATCAATCAGTCTTCTTTCGTCACGTTTTTAAGCAAGTTCTTGATCAGAGAAGAATCCCAAGAACAAAAGTCGATCAAGTGATATCTGGATTATTAAATGAAAATTTTAAAAATCAGGATCAGAATTGATTAGCATTATTCCGTTTAGTATAATCAATGTGAATAGATGAAGAGACAAGAAGTTTGAAGATGAAAAGATTGAAACATGAAACATCTTTAATGTCTTTTTACTTCTTTTTATAAACAGTTCTATTTGCAAACAAAAAATGAATTTGAGTTTTAACGTCACAATCGTGTTTATCGCAGCTATAGGGGGGGGATATCGCATACAGTGCATTTGCTTTTATAAGAGGGGTATCTTAAAAATTATGATTATGTTATACAACGCCGATACATTAATTACTATATATGGATTTCCTGCGAGAATCGAGATTCGCTCAATTACGATTGAGGTAAAATCATCTTTTTCTTTAATTTCATCACCAAGTGTTACAATCTAATTTCCAAACGGAAGGTTTTTTATGATCGAAATGGAAACTTATTTCTGCAACAACGATATTGTTCAGTTATTTTCATATAGAAAAACTGTTTCGATAAGTAGGTTGATACATCCAGATGTCTGATTTCTTTACTTCTATGTTTGTTTTTTTTATCAAAATTTCTGTCAGTTTTCTATATCCATCTTCCTCATTCCGATATCCAACAAGAAACCATTTTCATGACCTCGGCTTTTCTCATTATTCTTCCTGTTTCGAAACTTCCGGTCATTTATTGCCTTAGAGAACAGTCATATATCTTCGAGTATTTTTTCGAACATAATGTTTCCTTACGGATTAAGCTAGACAATCAAATCAATGACGTGCACTCTCAAAGCTTATCCGGTTTTGCGAACAAGGTTCTCCTTATCGGATAGAGGTGAAACAATGCTTAGATGAATGTTCGAGATTGAAGATAACAAATTTCCTAAGCTTAAGAGAAATCATTTTGAAATATTAAAAACTAGCCCTTCGACGAGAATGATTGACCATTAACCGAATTCTTCATCTATACAACCCGAAAAGCCACGTGATAGAGCCAATTGAAAGTACATAACTTGGCTTTTACGATAAGAAGTTTCGTTTCATTAATCTCGTTGAAGTTCTATAGCAAAGTTTCGGTTCGAAACTCCTTCAGTTCCTGTTTCATTCATCGTATGCATCTCACATATTACCCAAATAAAGTTTTTTTCGATTGACTGTTATTATTGAGAATCCAGAGAAGGATCGAACTACAGTGATAAAGCGAAGAGGGGACGCAAGAAATTGGTTTATAGAATTATCTGAAAAGGAGTTAAAATTACAAGTTTAACGCGTGACTCAAAAACATTTCAATCTCTATTCAGGTCACGAGCAGTAAAAGGTAATTTTTATTGCTGCATTGTTAGTGCTGAACCCTTTTTGAAGGTATTCAAGACCTATTCAGTTGCGATGTTTATTGTGCAAAGTGTGAAAAACCATTGAGAAGCATTGTTTGTACAAAATTCGGAAATGATTGATAGACAACTTTTCCTGATTTTTACGCGAATTTTTAACGTGTCGGAGTGAAATCATATGTCGTCATGGCATCTGTCATCTCATCGTCTACCGCCATGAACTGTTTGCTCAGACTTCAGCTCTCACATTTGAGATTTTGATTAGTCCGATGTATGCATTGAATCCTAACAGAATTTGAAATTCCATATTATTATTAAACTGTTCTTAAATAATTATTATACTATATCGTTTGCGTAATATGAATAGGTTGAAAGCTGCGTTGCAGTTCAAACCCAAACAGTAAGTTATTGAATTTTCATAGATTTGAACAGACGCTTTTAATAGGTACGATTCTGATTCGTTGGGTTATTTCTCAGCTTCTTCTGACCAGTCATTCACACGATCGCAGTTTATTCTTCGACCGTCTTCCGCTTATGGTTCATTAGCCTCTTGTTCTTACTTGCAGGAAATCCCGCACTCGGAGGTTTTTATTCCTTGCTTAATTGTCTTCCGCATTCTCTTTCAGTTTAACTATGAAGATTCTCCTTCCGTATCTTGCAGTTCCCGCAGCTTATTCACCCAGGATGGCTCATTTTACGATTCGGTAAACGAACACAGCGATTTCGATTCGATCATGAATTGACTGAAATCAATTATCTTCAGCATTACGGGACATGTTCGGCAGATGACGAAATCAGTACCATTCATGAGGAAGCTTATGGTTATAGTAGTGGACTGATGAGATCGGACAGTGAAGAATCGGTTCTTCGCTAAATTCTCGTAATACAAACAATAGGATTTTCAAGATTTATGCAGCTTCTACCGTCGGCCGGGAGAAATCGGGTTCAGATCATTATGATTTGGAAGAACTGTTTGATGATTTAGAAATCCAACAAATGAATTACGAATCGAGGTTCGGCGGTAAATTTTTCCATTTGCTAAGGTTATTGTTTTTTGCAGTTCGTCCCCTGATAATACTTTGAAAAGAAAAAAGTTTCTCATTAAAGAACCGGATGATTCCAGTAAAATATACTTCAACGAACACTTCTCGAGAGTTCAGAACGTTGTTCCAGCGAAAGGGTTGAAACCGAGGTTTGTGATCAAACCTTACTGAACGAAGGAGATATGTTAGATCTATCTTGAAAAAGAAACCGTCGTTGTTGCATTCACATATTTATGAAGAGATTGAAAACGATCATCTGTGTCCGATACCTGATGATGTGCGACCAGCTGTAAGATAACATACGATAATCCTTTTTTTTAAACTTCTATTAAAGCCGCCAGCACGGCCTACTGTATTACCAATACGCATTTTTCCCCCCTGTCAAACTTTCCAACCCCGACGTCTTGACCCAAGGTATACAAACTTAACATTCGAAGTCTAATAATGCAATCATAGACATATTTCTTCCAGTCGAAGAAACCACAGTGCTCCGGAGGTTAAACGTACGACTTCATTCAGTTTTAGCTTCTTCACTTTGAACCGCAAGAAAAAAAAAAACTTATGATTTTCATAATAAATTTATGTACATTCTCTGTGAGTACTGAAACAACATCTTTTCCAAAACTATAAATGCTAAAAAGCAAACAAACAAACTACTTATCTCCAAGTTTTGTCAAGAACATTGGTTAGTAACATGGATAGGTCTAACCCAACGACAAAGCCAACGTTTCCGCTTGACAGATATCCAAGAGTGGCGAACACAAAACTGGTTCGATCTTGCATTAGCTGAGTGCGATCGAACCTTTAAAACACTTTCTTTTAATTTAAAAGACTTTACCACACCTGGCGCGATAGCACTTGTCATAAAGTTGAACAGAGTTCATATTACATAGTGAAATGTAGGTCAACGGTACAGCTAGTAAGGCTCCTGCTATGGCTCCGTTAATTCCACCATCGACGAAAGATTTCCTGAGACATATACTGCTTTCAAAAATTAAGTGAATAAACTTACGTAAGTGTTTTGGAAGTTTCAATCTTGTTGGAAAACAACTTGGCGGACAGGGGTCCAAAAATGGAACCGAGAACAGCTCCGGTCTGCAAAAGTCATCTATCTGGAGAAAAGTTTGTCGGCATACTTGAATTGAACGGAAAGCAACATGAATACAAAACTCCGCACCAGGATTAGGAACTTTTAGAAGTTCAAACTCAGACTGGCGCAAGCCGATGAAGTTTTTCAGCCAGTAAGTGGACATCTATATAGCGATGGTTGATAGTATTTATATCGAAAAACTGACAAGACAAATAAGAAGTAGAGTTAGGAACTCTTTAAGTAAAAAAACAGAAAAATCTTCATAGTTTAATTATTAACATATAGTAAGTGCTAAAGATTGAGAATAGTACAGTTTAGTGCTCCAAAAAGAATATGCACTCATTTTATGACAATAAAAGTAGTTAACTCGAGATAGTTAGAGTGAGTATCATATTACCGGCATAAAACGGGAATATAGAATAAATGTACAAGACTGTGTGAGAAAATACATAACTGTTAAAGAGCACATTTTGTTAAGTTGCTGAGAAGCTGACATCGATGGATGATTCGTTCAAACCAGTCTGCTTGAAAGGTGTGAGATCAAAGGACAAAACCCCAGAAACTGTACAATTGGAGGGATGAGGATATACCCCAATTAAAGCATCCGCCTAAATATATTATGAGAAGAGCAGTTGTGTGAACGGTTTACCTTATTATAGAACTCTTCTTTAAGTGAAATAACAATTACTTGCATAGTATCTTTGGCGTGATCGTAAATGAATGAGGCTACCTAGAGTACTCAACATTTGTGAAAATTTTCAGGTGAAGTAATACCTTTCCTATATTGGTGTTATCTAAAGCGGCGTCGATCTCATCCAACACGAAGAAAGGAGCTGGATTTCTTCCATGTATAGCGAACAGAAGAGCTAGAGCAGCAACAGTTTTCTCTCCTCCGGATAGATTGTCCATCGGTCGGAATCTCTTTCCGGGAGCAACGCAGTTATACTGCAAACAAATAAACATTTAATTCATTTCATCTATAAGCCACCTGTATTCCTTCTAAATACGGCTCTTCCATGTTATCGGCACCTAAGAAGGCTTGCGCACTGGCATTTCGGGACAGAGCCTAAAATGCACTATTCAATTTTTTGACTCGTGGCATGACTCACCTTATAAATCTCATCTATCTTTTGAGTGACAGGTTCGAAGCATTCTTGGAAGCGGCGATAACGATCCGTTTTCACCTTTTCAAACATTTGCCTCAAGCGTCTAGCTTTTCTACGGGCAGCTTCACATTCTTCAGAAGTTTCCGCTTCTCTTTCCCTCACTTCCTCCATTCTATATTATATAATTATGAAGATCAAATAAAACGGAAAACCTCTGATTTGCTCTCATATTAGGAGCGCTCAAACGAGAGATAACAGCTTGCGATTCAGCAATATCTTGATTGAACTTCTCAACTTGCTTTCTTACTTCATCTTCATCTTCAATCTGAAAAAAATTGGTATCAAGTTGAGTACCATTCGATAGATAATACATTTTTCAATTCATCACTAAGGGTTCTATAATTAATTTTGATCCTAGCTTCTCTATCGATTTGCTCTTGGGAAATAGTAGCTGTGGATGTTGGCTGTGAACCATCCTCTTGAAATAAATATTGAAAAGAGAAAATAAATGAATGAAACCATCTTCATCATCAGCATCAACTTCTGCTAAACTTCCGGCTAGGAGGGGTAGCTGAACTTGGTTTATTTTGGCAGAATGAAGAAGCTGATGTCGTTCAGATAATTTTCTTCCTATGACCGATTCGGATGCTAAAACCGCTTTTTCGGCGGTACTCACTTCTCGATGAGCAAGCTGTAATAGATAACTAGCGAATCGCCCTCTTCGATTATCGACATACCTGTGCCTCTTTCTTGGCTATAGTTAACTCAGCTTCTAAAGCTTCTAAATTAGTTTTTTGACCGCTTGATTTTTGCTGAAAAAACGTATATCACTGAGTTGTTTCTGCATGCAAGGAAAACCTTAAGATCCTCCGACTCCTTTTCCAACTTGGACAAAACTTTTTCCTCTTTAGCTTCTTTCTTTTTAAGTTGCTCCAAATCTTTTTCTAATTTCTTGACTTTATCAATCTCCTGAGTGGCCTTTCTGTTTTTGTCTTCGGACCGAAGGTACTCAATTTCATTGCGAACACGATCGAGTTCGTTATCAAACTCGCTCAACTTGTCTTTTCTTTCCTGATGGAACCTACAGTACATTGTAAAATGATGATGGTTGTCAAAAAAAACCAACCTCAGCTCTTTCTCCTCGTACTCCCGAATATTATTGATTCCTATGTTCTGACAGAACGACGCAAACACCTACAACAAGATGATATTATCAATAACATGAATTAGATATCACTTCATCTGCACAAGCATAACTCTGCTCTTGCATAGCTTTAATATCTCTCTCACGTAGTCTCATTTTAGATTCAATCTCATTTATTCTGGGCTGAAATTATGAATTTAAGTTATTTGCACGTTTGAAATAGTATTATTCACCTGAACATTTGATAACTCGCATTGAAGAACCTCTAACTCATTCGCGATTTGTTGCAATGCCTCATGCTCGAGACGTTCTCTTTCCTTTTGCGTGTTCTTCAATCGAGATTCGATTGAGCATATTTTGTTTCTTTAACAAGAATTTAGCAATGATACTGAAAGATTTATAATACCTCAACATTTCTACATCTAACTCCTTTCTGCGAGTACGATGCAGAGTATTACATTCATCTTGAAGAACATTGCGACGTTCGCGTAATCGTCTGTGAATAATGTTTGAGTTTAAGAAGCATGGGAGTTTCACACCTTATAGCATTCTCGTCCCATTTTTTAGCTTTTTGCTTCAATTCGGCTGCTCCTCCAGATATAATTCCGTTCTGTTGATACATCGTACCATCGAGAGCTACAGATTTGTGCCTATCTCCAGCACGACCGTAAGCAAGAAACTTAGCATCATCGGCATTTTCACAAATCAGAGCATTTCCACAAGCAAATTGTAAAGCTTTCCGTGCAGCAGAATTATTACACTATTTTTCATCATTCGACTTGTTTTAAGCAGCTCACTTACTTGAATAACATCGTAGACAAGCTTCACTCCTTTCGGGTTTTGAATCTCACGTAGTTTCTCATTGATAGGCTGGACCTCGATTCCTTTTGACGGTAGAAAGGTCTCAGGTGGGTAACGTTGCTCCTAAGGGTTATTTTTTGAGAACGAATTCGAACATTTATTTACCTTGAGATAAGCAATAGCTTCTCTAGCCGTTTCTTCGGTGTCACAAACTATGCTCATCATGTTTTTTTGCAAAACCTTGGTAACAGCCAATTGAAACCTTTTATGTGATGGTTGACATAGATCTACCAAACGGCCATAAACCTGTTGAGTTAATTATGAAAAACTTGGCTTCACAACCACAGCCCTACCTTATCAGGAAAAACTCTTTTCAAGTTGTCGATTGCTTCGTTTCGTCTGCGAACCCTTTCACTTTCGGCTGTATCACCCGAAGCATCAGAAAGTTGTTTGGATACATCGTCCAATTCGGTGGTGACCTAAACAAGTAGTCCACAAACAATCAAACTTGAGTAAAAACCTTTTCCAGTTGCTCCTTACTATCCTTCACTTGACGCTCTGTATGAACCAAGTTAGTGTTTTCATCTTTCAGCAAGGATTTCTGTTGCTCACTGGTCTCAAGGAGATGTTCAATCTGAAAAAAAAACAAAACTCATGGATGAGAACCATCACCGAATTCACCTGTCTTTTGCAACGCTCTTTTTCTTGTTCCTTAGTTTTTATTTTTTCTTGAATTGTTACAGCTCGTCTTTGTTCATTAGCCATAGCACTGAAGAAAAATTTATATATAAACAAAAAACTATATTCAACCTTTTATCAGTTTCATATTCTTGCATAAGATGATTCAACTTTCTATCCATAATACCAGAACGCTTTCCTGCTTCAGTTTTCAAAGCAACATAAGTGTTCAGCTGCAAAATGAAGTTGTACCTGTTTACAATCAATACGAATCTACCTGTTCTTCGCTGAGATTGAGATCTAATTCAAGACTCTGCGTGTTCAACTCTGATTCGCAATCTGTCTTCTTCTTTTCGAGTTCTCTGTAACAGTCTAGGGTACGGGTTTATTGAATGCCCACTAACTTTGCCTGCTGAGCTAATGCATTCAGTTGCTCATCGTTCTTCTGAGCCATTTTCTGAGCAGCTACTTGGGACTTTTGGGCAGTTTCCAACTTATTTTTTACATGGAGAACTTCTTGTTTGGCTTGCACGAAAAGTGGTCGTTGCACAGTTATTTCTCTTTCCTAAAAAGCACCAAGTTGAATTCAGCCTATATATAGTGTAACGTCGAACCTTTTCCGCCACGTCCCTCTCTAACTTTTGATGATCTCTCTGCGCTTTCTTCAAGGCTTTCTGCCTAACTGTTACTTGATCGTCGGTCTCGCCCTGTAGAATCAACTATGAACATATCCATATTTCAAACCTTACCTTTTTAGATTCAAATTCTTGAACTCTTTCCCGGCGCTCTTCAAGCTCATTTTTCGCATCAGCTGCTAACCTTTCACAATGAAACAGTTCTAACAAAAATAAAAGCTTTTGCTTCGCTGTCAGCTCGTCTTTCATGTTCTGATATTTCTCTGCCTCGTCCCTTTCCAATTTCGCAACTCTCTTTTCCTACAAAATTGTTCTGTAAGCCTCGAATTTTTCATATTAACAAACCTGCGCTATACCACGTCTTTTGTCCATGTTATGATGAGCATCGTCTTCCGCCTTCAGCATTTCAGCTTTCAAACGCTCATACTCAGCTGCGAATTCACAAGATCTCAAATTGATAATTATTGTGAACATTTCCAAAGTATTCGTTACCTTGATATTTCTTCAAAAAGTGCTGTCCTCTCTTTGGGATTTTTCATCGCAACCGACTCAATCGCTCCCTGTAGTACGTAAACATCACAAACTATTAAGACAATACTCATACCTGATATACTAAAAAGTTCTTGGCTTTGATAAAAATTTGAATGCTTTCCATTTCGCTATTATATTGTTGAACAGTGACACTCTCAAAATGAAATGATGAACACATTAAAAAATGAACAGCATACTTTATCATCTATTCTATATTCATTACCAGCTCTATTTGTTACAATTCGAGTGAAGAGAGTCCTCTTACCATTATCATGTTCGTACGCCATGGTAACAGAGCACTTCGCAGCAACTGGTTTTCCAACAGGAGCACCATGAATTAAATCCTTGAAATAATTGTTAACTTGAACTACGATCCAAAAACTACCGAAAGCTTTTTTACTCGAAGACTTGTAGCTTTTTCACCAAGAACAAAACATATTGCATCCATCAAATTCGATTTTCCTTAATAAAACCATTTCATCAGTAATGCAACTTCAATATACCTGACCCATTTGGACCGATAATTGCAGTAAATTTCTTAAATGGTCCCACAATTTGCTTTCCTTTATAACTTTTGAAATTTTCCAGCTCAAGGGTATGTAGCATACCCATTGTGCTGGCTGATTGTGGAAAACTTCTACAATTTAAATAATAATAAACAAATAGTTCGCAGTATACCAGGAATGCAAATTTAAACAGGCGGAGAAGCGTCTTTAAAAAATGCAAATGGCTCACAGCCTCCGCTAAACAGCATGCATCGTCTACCTCCGTTGTAAACAGAGTAGGAACTACAAAACATATTTCCGGCGGTGAGAGAAGTGTATTTATTTAGTGTGACATGTAACAACAACAGTAAACAATAAACGATAAACAAAGGAAGGATCCTATTTTCTTTTCTTGGAACTCCATTTGGCAGATTTTGATTTGAGACTTTCCACCAACGATTCCTCTTTTTTGGCGACTGGGACAATGGATTTCTTTGCTTGGACTTGAAGTTCTATTAGCTTTGTTCCCTGAATTTCATTGAATGAATGAAAAAAGTTAAGTTACCAATGATTACCTTAGAATGTTTATTTGTTTGCTCAATTGTGAATGCACTATCAGTAATGAGAGCATTGAATCGATCATCAGCCAAAACAGAAGCGGCAGTACCATAATCGCTCTGTTTCAAATCCGCTCTTGTTTGAGCTCTCTGACATTTTGAATAGTTAATAGAAGTATGAAGAGTTATGTCACCTTCTTCTTCTGTGGCTCTCCAATTTCTTGAGCGACGCCTTGGTGTTTAGCTTCTCGTATACGAAGCTTCTTCTCTTTCCTCTTCTCCTTGGCCTTCTCCATATACGCTCTGTAGCCATTTTTCTTTGGCTAAAATTTAATGATTAACCAAAAAATAGTATTACTTTTGATAGATAACCTGAGTTTTTTCCGCTTCTAGAGCCTCTGAGGCGCTTTCATCATCACTGTTTTCTCCATTTGCAGATCTCTTCGCTAAAGCTTTTTCAATGTCGCTATCATCACTATCGCTAGTATCTTGATCTTCACCGTCCCATTCAATCTTTAACAAGAAGAGAATTAAAGTTGAAAGCGAGAGGTTTTCAACATACCTTGAGGCTTTCAGTTCGTGGTTTATCAGCGATCAAAGAGAGCAATGCTTTTTTTCGTTGTTCTCTCGCATTGTCATCTTCAGAGTCTGAATCAGCAATCATATCATTTCTTTCAGTTTCTTCGTAACTAAAACATATGTGTTTCATACACCTCAATGATGCTTTCTAACTCGAATGCTTCTTGCACTATTTTCGATCTTTCAAAATCTGCATCGTCCCACTGAACATCCTGACCGACACGAGTGACCACTGATTCAAACTATGAAGATTCAGAAATTATTTTTAATTACTGCTGTTACTCACATCGGCTTTAGGTCTGTACCTCATCAAGTTCAAATCGCTCTGCTTCAATTGCTCTTTCAGTCTCTCTTGCTGCAAAACAGTGCTAACATTGTTTTCTAGAGAACGTTGGGGCTTACATCAAATTCCATATCATCAGGAACGAATCTAAGATCCATTTTTAATCCTGAGTTCTCAAACAAAACTCCGTCGCAATTTTCGTATATTTTTGTAGCGGTGGTCTCGGAATCGCACTCAATTACTGCATAATAATATTTCAACTTCTCCAGATTATACTTCCGTACGGCGAAGATTACTTTCCTAATAGATTATCATTAGCAATATTTTACATAAATGTTACTTGAACATACCTATCATTGGCGTCATATTCCTCATCATCACCGATCTTCTCGAGATTAAGTTGAGGACCAAGGTTTTCTTCTACATCCATTTTTTCTTTACCAAAATCTGATAAATAAATTCCAACGTTGAATACTTCACCACCGGTCTGTCTAAAATAATAGAAAAAACAAATTTTGATAGAAAAAAAAATATCCTACACAAAAGAATTGACTAAAATAAAAATATCCTCTGCCTTGACCACATCCCAGTCTAGGTTGCAAACAGCCAAACGCCTACTTGCCCACTCCACTTGTTCACAATTACTAAGATGAGAGTATTTAAACGTTTTGGTGAGATACAATACTTGTCCAGCATTGCGACATCCATCTGTTGGGCTACATCATCGGGCATATCCCATTCAGAGTCCTCAGAAGACTCATCATCATCAGATGAAGATATGTTTCCATCTCCTCTGGCAAGATCAATCTGAGCAGCGGGATTTGTTTTAAAATGCGGATATGAAACTTACTCTAACAGGTTCATCCGAGTCATCTGAGTCAGTGGAGTCTTTGACATCTTCCGCTGATTCTTCACTCTCCTCCTTAGCTTTTTTCGTTGGAACAACGGTTTTCTTTTTTTTCAGCTTCTTTTCTTCTTCTGAAGTATAAAAGCATTTAGATTTCATCATAACGTGCCTAATCACTTGTCTTCAAGCCTAACTGTTCAGCCTCTTCCTCACCATCCGATTCCACAGCGTATAACGAGTTCAAGTTGTCTGAAAAGCAGCTTATTTGACCTTATGATTAATATATCTTACTTTTCTTTCTTCGTATTGGTTTTCCTCTTTTATCCACAGTGGAAGAATTAGCAAATCTCTCATCCGAGAGCAATCCAGAGAAACGTTTTTCAATTACAATCTACACAGTAAAATAAAATTTGTTCTTAGTCTATACCCTACTTTCCTATCCGCAGTTTTGATATGAGCAAACTTCGGATCCGACCTAACATGCTCGAAACGTTTATCATCAAGGGGATCATTACTCTTGACTACCTTCTTAAGGCGTTTTCCTTCTTTTTTCATTTTTCTGGAAACACAACGTGTTGGTATAGAAAAAAAAATTTTCAAGGTATAGTTGGAGGACAACCAGTATTCAACAGAAAACGGTTGGAAAAATTAAAATTTATTAAATCAGTAACAAGCTAACATCCCAACAAAATTGAAAACATAACTTAGAGAGATTCACATTTTTACTTAACATGAACTCCACGAAGAGTTGGGGCGGTCATCTTGGTTGCTCCTCCAACAAGCAATGGTTGGCCCTTCCAGCTAGCGAAACCTCCATCAGATACTTTCAAGTCTTCAGCAACTGTCTCCCAAACCTACAATATTCAAGTTTCAAAAACACTTTCTTTCACAAAGACCTTCTTCTTAGGATTTAGAACAGCGTCAGGTCTGTGAACATAAGGTGGGCAAACAACAGGGGTTCCAGGAACTGCAGATGGATCAACCTCCATCACTTCAACCTTAAACATTCTCACTTTCACAGTTATTAGTGCAATTTGATTACCTTTTCTGGCGATGAAGCGCACATCACCATAGCACGCGACTCGACACCTCTCATTTTTGCAGGCTTCAAGTTACAAAGAACAACAACTAAGCGATTTTGCATCTGAATAAGAATATCTCTGTTTGATGCGATCAAAAAATATACCTGTTCCAACGGAACCCATTTAACTAAACCAGAAACGACATTTCTTGGCTCTGGCTCTCCAACATCAATTTTTTCAAGATACAAAGCATCGGCGTCTGGGTGCTTAACACATTCAATAATTCTTCCAACACGAAGATCAAGACGTCCAATATCAACTTCATCATCAGCAGAAGCTAAACACACAGCTGAATAGGAGGAACAAGTCGATTTTTTACCCTCGGCTCCTTTTTTAGGTGGAGCTGCTTTCGCTTTATTATCTTTCTTCTTTTCAGTATCTTTCTTGGGAGCAGGAGCGGCAGCGACTTCTTGACTAGACGAAGCTTGATTAGCAACGTTCTCGTTCTTAGGAACAGTGACTTGCTTGACTTCAAAAAAAACAAATGAGCAAAAATTGTAACATAAACTTACTTCCTGCAGCAACTTCGGCTTCTATGAGAAGTTTTTGCAAATCGTCTACTTCTTTCTGAAGGACGGCATTAGATTTTTCCAATTCTTCAAGCTTTTCGCTTACAAAAAGTTGACCTAAAACCATATATTAACAAACGAACGGTATACATTCAACTTACGAGCTTGTTCAAATTTTCTTGCGTTACCATTCAGCAATTGTTTGATTGCTGTTTGGTTCTTATGCAGAACTGGGAAAACTTTGGCTAAAGCAGACATGTCGCCCGGCTTCTTCTCCTTTTTGACTTTTCCTGAAATAACATATAAAGAGGAAGAACAAAACATTCAGATTCGGTAAAAGAAAGACGAGGCCAAAGTCGGAACGAGAAATTTACAAAAAAAAACAAATGTGAAAGAAAAACAACGAAGAAAAAAGGGTAACGCTTCGACCCAGGCCTGCAATCAAGTGAGTCAACGATAAATGGTATTTGGAGGAATTTGAGACATGCCTTTAGTTTCTTTCTTCTCAACTGGCTTAGCTACTTTTTCTTCAGTAGATGAACCTCCGAACTTCTTCTTGAACTCTTCAATGGAGGTTTTCTCGATTTTTTCGAACAATGGACTTGGCTAGAGCTTGTTTTTAAGAAAATATGTTATTATATTGAACTAACCTTGTTGATTTTATGACCTTCTTTAAGATAGCATATCGGCTTACTGCTGAAAACAGGAAGTTTCTCTAAACCGCATTGCTCACGAATTTTGCGTGAAATCTCAGGCATGATTGGATGAATCGCGATAGAAATGATATAAGCAACATTGGCAGCAACCGCGATGACAGTTCCTGCTCGTTTTCTTAAATGCAAAACTTGATAAAGCTCTTGACATAATCTTACTTTTGCTCTTCCGTTCCCTTAATGAGAACCCAAGGCTGTTGAATTTGCATGTACTGATTTCCTCGACGAGACATTCCAAGTATACATTTGACTGCATCCTTAAGCTTCACTCCATCGAAGAGCTTGTCGTACTCTACCAGATCCTCTCCGAGCCCAGTGAGAAGTTCAAGGTCAGCGTCTTCTAAGATCATTTGTGGAACAACACCATCGAAAAAGTTGTGCAAAAAGGTTAAAGCTCTGTTTATGAAGTTTCCTAGATTTGAGAGCAGCTCAGAATTAACCTGGAATTGGAATGAGAGAGATACAAACAGAATGAAAAACCTTTAAAGCAAAGTCATCCCATGAAAAACTTGTATCTTGAGACTCGGGTCTCATGTAAAGAAGATAAAAACGCCAAACATCAGGATGAATTCCAGTTTCTTTAGCACTGTCTCCAAAGACTCCAGTTCCTCTCGACTTACTGAGTATAGTATGAGGCTTGAACGATATAATTACACTATCCTACCTAAATTTCGTGTCTTCATAGTTCAAATACTCTGTAGCACAGAGATGATTTACAATTGTATAATTGTCTTTAGCTCCTAACTGTGTACATGGGAACATCACACCATGGAAGGCAACATTATCCTTAATACTTACGTTTAATTGCCTGCCAAACTGATTCATTTACCTTGCCAACGAAGTTGTACAATTCAACATTGTCTGGATTTTTCCACCACTTAGACCAATTGTCTCCAACTAAAGTTTTTGTTATGGATAGGTAACCTATCGGTGCATCATACCAGACATAGAAAACCTATATATGGGAAATATGGTTATTATCAACTTTATGTTCTTCTAACCTTATCGTCAAACTCAGCTAAAGGAACCTTGGTACCCCATTTCAAATCTCTTGTGATACATCTCTTCTCTAACCCACCCTAAATTAATGGTATACGAGCAGATAAATATACGATTACCTTAATCCACCCCTTGACAATAGCAACAGCATTCACTGACCAACGACTATTAGGATCAGAAATCTGCTTTTCTACAAACTCTTTAACTTCTTCCTAAAGACAACGTTTTCAGGTTATTAGGATAGAGTATAGGCAAACCTGAAGTTTATCCAAATGTAGGAAAATATGAGTAGATTGCTTCACAGATGGCTCCTTTTTACAAATCGAACACTTTGGTTGTTTTAACTCAACCTAAGAGAAACAAATAACGAGACAAAACTCTTGAAACCTACAGCATTGATCAATTTTCCGCAAGCATCACATTGGTCTCCCCTGGCATCATCATAGCCACAGAAGGGACAGAACCCATTCACAAAACGATCAGCCAAAAACCTGAAAAAGAACTGTTTTAGTTTTATTCCTGTGCAAACTGATTATACTTATCACAGTTTCCGCAGTGCAGTTGATCAACGGATGAAGTGGAAGTGAAGCCGTTTTCATGTAGCTTCATGAAAATATCTTGAGCTATTCTTGAAATATATATTGGATGAGCCTGCACGAATGACAAAATCCTACTCTGTTTGTTGATCTGTCGTTGTTCGCCCAAACTTGTCGAAATCAATGTTGAACCATTCATAAATTTCTTTATGAAGAACATGATATTTATCGCAAATTTCCCGTGGAGTCATTCCTTCTTGAAGAGCCTGATTCCAACATGATGAAATAATTTTTGTTGCAGCTTCACTAACCTTCGTTTCTGTAGCTGTACCATACTCATCAGTTCCACAAACATATAGAGTTTGGTGTCCACGCATGCGAGCATATCTAGCAAAAACATCGGCACTCAATACACATCCTATTATGTTTCCGAGATGAGGAACATTGTTGACATAGGGTAAAGCAGAGGTTATCAAAATGTTTCTTTTTCCTTCCTGTGGAACCAGGCTGAAAGTAACAAGCATGAACTTTTTAATGTAAGACAAGCATTACTTCTCAGCTGGAATTCTTTCAACAAAACCTATCTCAGCGCGTGAACCCAAGAATTCTTCCTTGGAAACCATTTGTTACCTGAAAAAAAAATTATTCTGTTCTTCACACGATCCAAAGGGAAAAAAGATAAGCAAAAGATTGACATTGGAAACCAAGCCGTCAAACACGCACGTCAAAGAAGATAATGTCGTATGTATATCAAACCATAACGATATATAAACTACTTCGTGTGAACGAACTACAAATGTAAGTAAATGAGAAGAAAGAAGAGAGAAACTTGGGCGAGTCAAGAAAAGTGGAGTTTACAAAAAATACGCAAACTACGTAGACGGCTCGACGAAGTTTCGAACTTCGCATTCGTCTAATATTTTGATGCAGGGCTACGGTAACCCTGATACTCGTAGTAGATGTTAACTTGGTTTTCCTGTGTTTTCATTAAGTAATAGAAACTACATTCAAGGTGATTCTTCTCTGCTCATTAATGCTTTCAAATCTGCGAAAAAAAATTTTTTTCTCTTTGGAGTACAAACTTCTTATGATTTGTTATGTTATCTTTTGGTGACTTCAGTAATACAAAGTAACTATTGATAAGTTTGAGATGGATAAACTCAAATAGCTTGTAATCGCAACATCTTTCTCAGCTTATTAAACACTACTGTACAGTTTCATACGTAGAACTGGTTGCGTACTTACTGTTTGAACAAAATAAATGCCATGTGGAGATAATCTGACTCATCTCAGAGCTTCTCTAAGCTGTGTTTTTCTGAATATTCAGAATAAGCATTTCAGATCATGAACAATATCCTCACATCGATACGAACTACATTCGAACGTCTGGAATATGTTGAATTCTCTTCGAAGTTACGGTTTGTTCGACGTCATCCAAAGCGACGTTTCGCTGTTGCTATTGCCGTGATTCTCTTGCTTCTGTACATATTTTTTTCTGGAGAACGGAAAGAAGTGATTACTGTAGCCCAACAATGTTTGAATGATAGACTTCAATTTTGGTCACAACAGTTCGACGTAAATTTAATTTTATGATATAATGTAAACGCTTGTCTTAGGATCTGGATCTTGGAATAGATCGATCGTCCGTTAACTTCATAGGTAATGGCCATATAGGGGTTGATAGTAATGGGCAATTGAGGTTGAAATTGATGAATCATAACATAGCAAGAAGTTCTTTTTTTACAGATTCACTTCTAGTTCATCTAGAGTTCTGAGTTTTAAGTCGGGCTTCACGCCTTTCATAGTTACATCAATGGAAGGTAATAGAGAAACTGCAGAAAGTCTAGTTACAGACTTTAAAAACGGAATAGTCAGGAAAATCATGTGCTTTTCTGTGGTAATTGCACTTCTTACAAATCTTGCAAATGATCAAATTAAGAATAACGAATGTGCTTGTGTATTAAGATCGTACTTTGCACATAGGACTCGACCAAATGTTCTGATCGAAGATGTTCAGATTATTAATCCTACGGTATTCAAATTCCAAAAACAATAATTCATTTAATCAACTCAGAAAGCTTCTTTCACGATTCAAGTGAGTAGACCCAATCCTATAACACCATGGACTCAGAACAAAACGTAAACTCGCTTATCGAATGTTTAACACAAGCTTCAATATTAGGGGTGAAGCTACTGTTTGGTCTCGAGAGTATGATGCTGTCTCTGATCGACGCCGAGTTGCTTCTATTATATGCTCTAATGCTCCAGGATCTGTTAGTGTCCTTCAGAAGAGGTTTCATCTATATCGAGAGCTTTAATTTTTTTTCCGAGTTTAGAGAAGAAAACTTTAGGTTCACATGTGTAGTTGAAGAAACAGATAGTTCTTCTGACAAGCCCATTCAAGAAGTTCGAGATACTCTGTTCAAGAAAAGCATCGCCGAATTCAGTAATGTAAATACAGAAAGTAGTTCTACTTTAGACAGTGAGCATATGGCAGCATGGAATAAAGTATTTTTGTTTTTCAGTCCTAAGGTTATCATTTTTTGAGTTTTAGATTAGCTCTCCTAGCTTTTTCTTATCACATTCAAAGGCTCCAAACGTGTTGAATGGGGATAGAATAAATGCTACACGTTATATTATTCTGAGTAACACGAAGGCACTAACTTTAGAGAAAACTACGAGTGAAGAAGACATAAAGGTTCCATTTCATTGCATTTTTCAATATCTTAATCTTTTTTTCTGACTCTGAATGAGCTTGCACGACGAAACGAAAGATGCTACACAGGTCATTCTACATTGTTATATCCTTCTAGGTTATGGCAGGTACACATAAAATAGTTCGAAGTATAATTTTGTTCATTTGTTTTCATTCAGACCTGGGAGAATCCGGAAGAACTCATTTCTATCGCCGATGTTTGGTTACTCACGCTTGAAAAGAGAGGTTGCTCGAATTATGTCAAGGCAGGATCAGAAGGCGTTGCTGAGGTGAGATTCACCGTTCTAATATTTACTGGAAGATACTACAGGCTTTTGTGCTGTCATTGATGGCTTGCTCTTTCCACGATGGTCATCTTGAAATGGAAATGGCTGCAAGTGATCTTCATAGGTTTTAGCCGGAGTTTTCACCTTTGTTAAATCGAATTTTGAAGGGAAATGGCCGTATCGGATATTCCGATAGGAGTAGCAGGATCAAACGTTTCCATACGAGTTATTATTCATTCGGACAATAAACCATATTTGGATGTAGCTGCAGCAGGTAGTTTATATGCGTGTGATGCAGGCTGCTTGGATATGCCTGTAACATTAGCCAAAACATTCGCAAGGTTGCCTGTCAAAGTAAGAGCTCAAATCATTATGATCATGTAAATTCTATACAGGTGACAAAACCTCAAACTAGTATTCTCTATGTGGCTACGAACAGAAAGCATTTAGAGCAATTAAGGTATGCTATTTATTTTTTACTTGAACTCATATAACGTCAGATCTGCTATTCATGTTTCTGAAGTTGGAGCAGCTCCTGCTCACGAAGAAGATGTTCTCTCTATGCATAGACATGGCAGTCGTTGGGGTGGATTGCCCACTTCTTTCTGGGTCTTCTTAGGTGTAATCCTGATAGCTTTCCACGTGTTTTTAGCAAAGTTACTTTGGTAAGAACTAGTTTTAAGAATTTCAGTGACATTAGAATTTTCAGGTCTGAATGGAGGAAAGGAGATATGACTCCTTATAACCCATACCTTCGAAACCGTTATAGTTATTCTCGATCTCATTAAGCGGATAAAAATGAGTGCAAATGATGGTGTGAATGCAAATAGAGTCCTACGTGTATAGTTTAATTTCGGATCTAATCCATTCTCGTGTGAAATTGTATCTTAAAGAAGTTCTTAATCAAGCTATGTTCTGATCCAGAAATTTGTGTATGCAATAAGCGTGTATATGATAAGAGGGTATATTATTTAACTCAGATTTAAATATATTTAAAATAATAAAAGATCTAATAAAGTTGTACACTACATCTATTAGTCATGTTGTTCCGGAAAACAACTAAAGCAATGATTATGCAGTTGATAAATCTTAAAAAGTTCAAAGGTTGTTTTCCTCTTCTACGAAGGGAGAAAAGGCGAACAACACCCATATGCACATAGAACAAAATTTTAAAGATAACTTTCTGGAGTTTTATGCTTCTTCTTTCAAGAATCTCTCCATACTGCTTCTGGTGGATTCAATATCATTGAAAGTGTTCTTTCTTCTGAAAAAGATGTTGTTGTATGAGAAGAAGTTTTTTGATAGTAAGGTATCACCTGCATGCAATGGTCACAATGAGCAAGAAGGCTAAGAACAGAAAAACTGAAGCGGAATAGATATGATGTTCTTAAAAAAGTATTAAGTTTGTTGACATTTCCACTTATTCGCCCACTTTTCAAAACATTAGCCTTGTAATGACTCGTTTGCGTGATTTGCTCTTGCCTAGGTCTTTCCAGACACACCAATCCACAGCACTCGTCAACACTGCCGCAGGTGAAATAGATTTTTGAAAACTAAAAATTCCCGATTTATTCGTTCAATTATTCAAGTGGTGTACCCTGTTCAGATTTGATCTTAATGGAACATCATAGTATGAGGCTTGATATTCACAAACGGGTTCCTCCTCTTTTGGTGGAAGCAAAGAATATGTAACTCCTTTGAACAGCATAGTTCCGTTAGTGACATTCTTATGAGTTAGAAGATTTTTCTGGATACCCTCAAAAACAAAGATTTTACTTTCCGTTGTCAGTCAAACTACTTCATGTTTAAGCTTAGTGATAGTGAGGTGAAAAATAATATAGATAGTCCCTAAGAATCAAATAAAAGCTTCTGATTGCGTTATCAAACAATAACTTCTTCTTAAGGAAAACTATCATAATATTTCTTAGCCTTTTTCTACACAAAACGATAAAACAAAGTAAACTTACGTCCATCACTTCATAGAAAATGCTCGGACAACATTTTAGTCCGCAAGCTCTGTTGTTAGCGGGACAATTCAAAGATATTTTCGATAAGGAATATGTGTTATCAGGATGGCTTGCTCGCCAACTTTCTATCATATCCTGATTTTCCACTACATATGCCGGGAACTTGAGAAAACGAAGAGAGTCGAAGTAAAACGTATTCTCCGGATTCAAATGGTTATCGTTCACGTAATATGTGACGCCATCCAGCTAAAAGAAAAACGCATTTTGTACGATAGACACGTGAGAAGCGGTTGTGTTCAAACGGAACAAAACATGTGACACTTTAGAATTTTTTTTCAAATACTCATTTCAGTTTCAAAAGATACTGCGTTTGAAAAGCGGAATCAACAGAAAAGCTATACCAACCTCATAACCTGAACTACTCCGTAGTAACAGATGATTTATCCATGTCTCATCTCCATCTGTACTATTTACAGTTTTAGCGTATTTTTCTACAATTCTTTTGATGATATTAGAAGTTTCCCGCAATGGGAACTGATCCACACACAAAGACTCTGCGAAGACTGCTATGTTAGCTATAGTCAATACAACAGGCAAAGCAAAAATCATTCTTAGTATTTATATATCCTTCGGAACCGTCTTCATATTCTCTGTAAAAGAATGTTCACTGAACTTGTCGATATAATGAAACAGCGAGTCATATTCTACTCGGAAGCTATCCTCATGAACGTTATTTGAATGAAAAAAAATTTAAAAAGCGGTTAAAATAGAGAACATGAACAGAAAGGCTATTAATTGTCAAATAAGGGGAGACTATATGTCTAGGAAGCCTCAAAGCTGCTGATAAGATAAGAATTGACAAAGAACGTTATGTATTAAAAAAAACGATAAATTTCAGCTTATGTAACGGTTATGAGTTATAGAAACTCGAACAATCATTAACATATTCAGAGCGAATATTCGACGCTGAATCAGGTGCACATTATAAATCTCCGTTTGTCGCCGAAGCCTGATAAATACTCTTTCTATTTATATCAATTTATTGTTATTATCTCATTCCGTAAAACTACTTCATTCCCAATCCTCAATGAATTTCGATAAATGCTGTGGACAGACGGCTTAAGCTTTTAAAATCTGCTTCTTCTCAATAACATGGTGTGATGAATGATCTTCTATGTACAGTTCGGATTATAAAATGACAAGTTATCATTTGCTTTCTGATTTTTCCAGATGTATTTGGTCGCGTCAGATCTCTGGTAATATCTCTTCATCTGAAAAATATATTTGATACTAGTTGAGCTAGATATAAATGAAGATAAACGGATAGATAGAAGTCTGTACTATATGTATTGTATCATTCCAACAATTCTTGAGCATTTTTTGCAACTTGGTGACGTTCAACTTGTGACGTACATTTTGCAAATAATTATGTACCAATTACTGTTGTTATAGCGGAAACGTGAAAAAAAAGTTTGTCAATTGTTTAATCAAGAGTTTCAATCCCCTCATCCTGAAAGACAGATTCACAGGGTTCACAAAGATTATTTACTTTCTCTGTTCCTCGAAGTGTTAACTACTTGTGAAAAATCACTTAAAGCTTCAAATAAAAAAAAATAAATCAAACAATTTTTCACCGAATGCTCAATACGAGTTCCTAATAAAGAAATTAATTTAAATACCATGTAGGTGGTTGAAAAAAAGCTTCAAAAGTTTGTGAACTTATTTGCTTGGTAAACTTCTATTGTAACAGTCTATGTTGAAGACAAAAGGAATCACTAAATATTTGCGAGTTCACAGGTAATCTTACACGTCAGGTCCAGTTTTGTTGTATCAAGGAAAAGTAGCATAAGGTTTTAACTAAAGAAAATTCCTTTTTTGAATACCACTAATCATCGGCACAAAGATCGAAATAAGTTAATTTGGCTAAAGTGGTATTTCGATCGGAAATTACTCTATTCTTGGAATATCCAACTACGCATCGTGCCATATTAATAGCTCCAGGGTTCAACTCAAAACAAATGTTCCATATTGGAATAGACTTGCGTTGTTGTGTTAATTGCTGATTCTCCGATGCTTTTTGTTTAAGTAATTCGTAGAGTACAGGAAACTTTCATGATGTGTACATACAACCTGCAGCACCTATTCAATCCAGTAAGGCAAATAGACTATCCTATAAAAGCGCCTCGTTTTACTCAATACTCATGATCACCGATCAAAAAGTGTTAACTATTTAACTTGTAGCAACTTTTGACTTATCGCACGCTAACTTATTACCTCATTCTTATTAGTTTATTACAGGATGATTGCATTTGTTCTGATCTCCGCAGTAGTATCAGTATCTTCCCTACCATTGAATGATTTACAGTACCTACACAACATTAGCTTGAAGTATGACGGTAACAATCTTCAAAACTTAGATACCATTGATACGCGTAAGTCTCGGCTTCAGTAAGAAAACTTTAAAACAGGATAACTTTAGTATCCGATGTTCCACCAGAGATGGCTCAGTCACTTAAAGATGCGATTCTCTCAGCCTTACCTTCGTACTTACAGGAAGTTCAGAAAACTGGAGCTAAGGTAATGTTGTCAAGTGTATGATCTTCAATCAACAGTATCTCATAGACTACAACTGCATCTTCATCTTCAACAACTCACAATCCCCCAACATCCACGAATGGACATAGCGTAACTAATATAAGATAAATTATCATCAAATGATAATTATAGACTATTATGCCCGCTCTCAATCGGTATCAACGTGATACCTCTTCATCAGCACCGGAACACGAAATCCATTCTGATACAACAAGCCAAGATCATCCTGTATCACAGGATAATCACGGAACACACAACGACGAGCACAATACCACACATAATGCTGGAGACACTCTTCAGAGTAAATCCCAAAGTATATAAGTAGCAAATCTTCTAATTTTAGAAACGACTACGTCGATCTCCTCACATTCATCATCTCCACTACCCACGCCACCCCCAGTTGTAGAGACCTCTGGTTCAACCACCCATCCAACGGAGACGACAACTGACTTTTGGAGCAGAACTGGTAAAAATATGACACATTCAACCCTTGAACAACAATCATAATCTCAGATCTCGTTCATTTCCATGTTGATATCGATATGCCAGGTGATGCCACAATGATTCCTCTAGACGGACCACTGCCGCACTAAATTGTACATTGTAGTATACTGTATTTATACCGAAATTGTTTAAAACTCAAACGATAATATAAATTTCAATACCTCAAATGCGTTACTTCAACTCTCACACACACACAATGAAGACTTTTCCTAACTTAGATTATAATGATACATTTTTAAAAAATCCTGTGGTTTGAAAGATTTTCGTTCGAAAAAAAACAGCCGTTCCTTGAATGAAATGCAAAGTAAATAATTTGTCACCGTACACGGCAGATATTTGTAGTAATTTGGCGGGAATTTGGAGATTAGCTAACTGTTCATAACTATGAAAGAATATCGATTAAACTATATAATCATAGTGATAGTAATTGTCAAATCTTAGTTAATTATGAAAAGGTTTGATGACTCGGTTTTTCTTGATTCAATTTCCGAAATTATATATTGGGCTTAACTAATTCTTGTTGCAGGGCATGACTTTTTTTTATATATTGTTACTGACGTTTTTATTGCAACTTAAAGTTGCTTCATGCCTGAATGTTCTCGTTTGGTGTCCAACATTGGGCCAGAGTCATGTAAACTTTATGGGTAGGATAGCTGATACATTACAAGAGGATGGGCATAATGTGGTTAGCATTATCTATTGATTCCAAAGTTCATTTGCTACTATCTTACTAATTCAGACTATGCTCATGATTGAGAACGATCCAGACATATGGTCGACAGGAACATCATTAGTTAAACATGTTGTTTGGTTGGTTCATCTTGTGATATTCGAACAGAAACCTTGCTTAGGTACACCTCTCCTTTGGTTGATAAAACCGAATGGGCAACACATAACTTCAAAAAGGGGAACGTGTTTCAAACAAAAACGTTCGATTTAGCTGATTTCATGAGTATGCAGGATATCAACTATCGAACATGTCAGAGTTAGTTAGGGAATAATTCAGAAATAGTGCTTTTATCTATAGGCATGATCAACGATGAAGCATTTCTGAGCTTGTTGAAATCTTCGCATTTCGATTTGGCCATCATGGAAATGTTTCATTTTTGCCCGGCTGGTTTATTATATATCTAGATACCTTGGTAACATCCTTACAGGTATACTCCATATAGCTGGAGTTCCCAAGATTATAATGGCATCAGCACTTGGAATTACTCCTGCGCATATGGAAATCTTAGATGTTCCTACATCGTTGAGCTTTGTTCCAAGTTTGCTTGTTTGTTGTACTGAAATTTCAACATGGTTTCTCTAGCATTCTTGACTCACATGGGGAGCAAGATGACACTGCTTGACCGTATGTATAACGTGGTCTTCAGTTTCAGCAGCAAAGTAAGTTGAAGTTGTTTTATCTGTTTAACAATGTTGTTGCAGATACTTTATTGGAAGTTACTATACTCGGAACAAGCCCTGATACAGTCCAAGTTCCCAAACTTCCCATGTTTGTACCAACTATTTAAGGTATTGCATGAGTGATACATAACAAAGGTTCCTTTTTAGAGCAAACTAGATTATTTATTACTAAATACTAATGAGTTTACTGAGTCAACGAGACCTACCTTGTCCAGTATCAAGTATGTTGGCGGGGTTACAACAGACCAGCCGAAAGAACTCCAGCCAGTGAGTTTTTTCTTCTATCAACTCTTTGTCAACTGTTTCATATGTCAGGAGTTTGACAGCATTTTATCTCGCGGCCAAAAAGGAACCGTTTTCTTCTCTTTGGGATCTCTCGTCAAGTCTTCTGAAATGCCAACTCACATCAGAAGAGGTTCAACGATAGTTAAACTTTATTCTGACCCAATCCTTGTAGCTTTTTTCGAGGCCTTTCTTTCTTTCCCTGAATACGAATTCATTTGGAAAGACGATGTTGCATCCAATTTCTCATATCCAAATATCCATTTCAGAAGATGGGTACCTCAGGTGGATTTGCTAGGTAAACGATATGGTTTCGTTTTTTTCATTCTTCTCTGTTTAGCTGATCCAAGGTTAAAGTTGTTCATAACTCACGGTGGAATGAATTCAATTCAAGAAGCACTCCTTTTTGGAGTTCCTATGATTACGATGCCCTTATTTGCTGATCAAGTGTGAAAGATTCGCAGTTTGAATTATAGATATCTTCATTCAGGATGCGAATGCTGCGCTCGCTGCCGAACGGGGTTATTCTTATACCTTAAATAAGTTTTCAATCACTAAAGAGGAAGTAATAAGAGCAATCAGAAGCGTACTTGGTGTAGATGGGGAAGAAAGGTCAGATATTTCAGGCTAATTGAGCAAAATTAAATCTCTTTGTTCAGTGTTTATCTTCTGAAGGCGAGACAAGCAGCCAGAGTTCTTAAGGGTAGTTCTCGATTGATGAAAAACGAAATTCAGCGTGTAGTCCGTCTATCGGGTTCCGAACCTACTTTAAACCATTTAAAATTGGATTTAGATCATTTAAACACTCTACAATATTTCAATGTCGATGTGTATCTCATTTTCTCATGTTTCATCATGTTATTACTAATTTCTTCCTGTAAGATTATTAACTACTACATAAATCTAAACTTCGTGCCTGCAAAGCAGAAAATAGCTTGAATTTTCATATTCTGTTTTCTGTGATTATTTTCGTGATATGTCCAAGATATTCTGTAAGAGTTCTTCTATGTTTTTCATGTGAATTTTTGGCTTTTTGCCTATAAAGTACTAGTCGAATCGATGTCGTTTTCATAATCTTTTCTCGGACCTCCGATTGATTACCTCTTCTATTCCAACTTCATTCTATCTTTTCATGTCTTAGGTACCTAACTGTATGTTTACTTTTTTCCACGACGATGCAGAATCGAAATGTAAGGTGAGTTCACACCTTTCTTTCTTTGTTCACTGTGGGATGTGCTAATCTCCTTGCTCCTAATTAGTTTCCTTTCCATCCAACAAGCTCAGAAATCTAATACTTTTTTATTTTTGAAGTTTTCTAGGTAAATATCTGCGTAGTTTGTTATCGAATCAAGTCTTTTCATGAAATTTACTATCTTTAGCCCTTATCTGAAATATACACCGCTCTATGCCTTTGGCGTCGGATTACTTTGAGCTTCATTATGACCAGCTTCAGTACCCGGCGGATATAGAGATAAAATCCAGTTCGGATACGTTTTTGACAAATCCATATATAAGCTCAACTTCTTTTCCGGGCTATCATTCTCTTTCTAATCCGTTTTTTTATTTTATCCTCTTTTTTCATTCTGTTCTCATTTTAAGTCTTGATGATACCCAGCGTCAATTAGAACGAATGTTTTTTTTCTTTATTGAAATAAGAACCAGAGCAGAAGAAACAGAAGCTTACAACAACAATAAGGAAAGTTGTCTCGCTTTTTGTTTGTGTTTGCTCTTATTATGTAATAATATGATTGTTCTAATTAGAACACAAATCTTCTCTCTCCCAATACAGACAGATATCATTGTCCTTATGTAAACATCCTTGTCACTTTTAATTCCTTGTCATCCTAGGCTCCTAATCCATTACACTTTGACAATCTTATTTTTTTGTTTTTGATTTTTTTCTCAATTGCCGACCTAATTTCCATATACACGGACCTCTCTATCTCTCAGTCTGTGTTGGTTTTCGATTCGCCGACCTTCGTTTGTGTCGTTTTTCACACTTTAAAGACTTTTAATCCGACAAAGGCAATTTCAACTTCTAATAATCTACGAAATCCATTTGTCCACCGATGATTCGTTCAAAGCCCGAAGTCAATGGTCATACGAGGCGATAATAGAGCTACCACCTTTTATTCTTTTGATCAAAAGAGTTGGGAGAGATGACGTCGTCACTAAAATCTAATCAAAGTTGGGCCTCTAAGTTAAAGCCCCACAGACTGTTAATGGGTTAGAGCTCATTATTTGGCTGGCGATGTCCAATTCTCGCCAAATAATTTGCGCACATCTGTTTGTTATAATGCTGAAGAACCCTCGAGTGCGTTTTTTTCGCAATTTTCTTCCTTATAGCTTCCCTGTAGTTTTTTAGTCTCAGGCGCCATATTGACCTGGAAGACCTGTTCGCAAGGCCTTTTAAGTTGAAGTTTTGTAGCTTTTACAGTCTTTTAAAAATATTATGTGAACCTTTTGTATCCTGAGGCTCTTAGTTGATACTTGTCGTCTGTTTTCTATATCAAAATGTGTGTTGAGGGAAAAAGCAATTAAGGAAATTCGAAAGTTTTATTTAGTTGATCCTTTCTCTCTTTTCTGAATTTTGCCTTGAACATCTTCATTTGGATACTATTGTATGATAATGAGCTCATTGTCAATTCCAAATATGACCATCGGGATAGTACGAAGTTTTGTATGCAAAATTGGGTTTCTTTTGTTAGTTCAAAGAAAAAGACAGAAAGTTACAAAAAATGATACGCATGGTTGCTTAACTGATGATGGAATATTTTGAAACTTTTGAATTGAAATATTCCTCCCATTTATGGTACGTAGGAGAAACCGAATTGAATCTGTATGTGAGAAGATTATCTTTTTTTACGTTTCAATTAAGACTGCGATGCAGATGTGAGAGAATTGTAGGAAATTCAATTAGAATGCTTGTGAACGGCTTCGGAGCTCTCTGATACTTCCCTACTTCGTTTTGATGTGTGAGCAAGTTGAATTTTCAAATTTTTACTTGATTGATGATATATCTTTCTTCCTTACAGTATTTCTCCACCGGATATTCAAGTTTTGAAAGTTATGCTGGATAAGATGTCATCCATCAATCCTAAGCGAAAATGAGGCCGGACGGAAGAAATCATGATATGTTACAAGACAAACTTTGTCGTCAAATGTCGCAAAACAAATTGTCATTGTCTAGTCGAAATTGAGATTTGAATTGTTGCGCAATTCATTAAGATGATGAGCAAAAACTAAGAGTACGAGAGAAAATATCTGTTGAAGAGAGAGAACATACCTTTTATGGAGACAGCCGAGAGCATTCAAATATGGATGAGACTTCTAAATGAATCATATCTTCCTCATATACATGGGAAGAACTCTTTTTGTTTTCGGGCCACCCATCTACATGGGAATGGAGTAACTTCGAATGAAAAAAAGGTTAAATCATAATCTTTCTATGAATTTCAAAATTTTTTTCATTGCAAAATGTTTTTCGAAAAAAAAAAACTTTTCATCTCTACCTCGATTGTTCAAATTTCGAAAATGCCTACATAATCGGTTTCTCCATTTTGGAACTGTAACTAAGATTGAAAAACACGAATTTTTTAATTAGGTGTACAGTTGTCTGTGTTCGTTTAAGCGCAACTAATGTTCTTGGGGACGGAGCAACAGCCAGTCGTATTGTCTTTCTCAGTTTGAGAATGTCTGGGAACGTCTCATTCTCGCTCTTTTTGGCCTGATGAAGGCTGAATCAATTAGCTGGGGAAGTTATAGGAACATCTTAATTACTGTTTCGTCAATAAAACCAACCAGGATACCTTATTAACTATCATTTTTCTTTTTTTTGCTCAGGAGTGTTTTCCACTATTGAAAACGAACGAATGTTGTTGCCTCTGGGCTCATTCGTATTTCTTTTTGTATTTCGTAATCTCTTGATGGGATTTTATAATTTCTCGTGTTCTCAGCTCACCTCCAATAATATTGAACACAGTAGGCACGTGTTTCTCGTTTTCTTGAGCCTTAATGTAGAGTTCACTTATCATCTGTAGTCAATTATGAGAAAGGTTCACAACTTGATTAGTACAGACGATGTTCTCAGGTCAACGCGTGTTCTCATGAAACCAGATGTTACTTTGAGAAAATGAAGCCGAGAAGTTCCTATATAAGGAGCTGGAAAATCATTTACAAGCAAAATTTGCTCTTCTTCTCTCCCGCTACTCATGTGACTTTTTATTTTCATCGATCTATATATATATATTCACTTCCTTCTCTTAGTTTAGTTGGGCGATGTTCTTCGCACAAACTGTTATAATGTTCTTGCTTTTTCTCAATTCTTAAACTTGGTTTTATCGTTTTCCGGCATTATGGTTTTTCCTTTTTTGTCGATGTGTTTGCTATCTTTTCATGGGGCGGAGCTCTGTGCTATGCACATCAGTCCTTCTTGAATACCACCCAAAGAGAGCCTTTGGTCTAAGTTGAGTTCGAATTCGTGTTATTGGGACTAAATTAGTGAAAGAGCACTGACCAATAGCTTTTGATTTCACTTAGCTTCTAGAAGTTCAATGACGAGTAATTAATAAAATGAAGTTGTTGAAACATGTTCGTCCATTCATCTTTGACTCTCTCTCACTTTTCGAATACTTGAATGATCATTTTCTGAACTATTCTAGTCATTCGTTTTCTTTTTTTTGTTTTTTTTCTGCGTTATTTCCTTTTTTCATTTTTTCATCTGTTCTTCACTCTTTCCTCTGTTTGTTGGTAATCCAGAAAATTTCGTCGGTCTTCGTGGCATGTTCTTCCTCCTCGCCAATGTCGTAACACATGGCTTCATCTCTGCCATTTCCTACTCCCCCCCGATTTCAGTTTTCTTCTCATTTTTTTCTTTTGAATTCCATTTCCGTCGTTTTCGTCTTAGATTTCACTCCTCATTTCCGTCCAAGATTAGACGATGCACTTAACGTTAAGTGCGTTTCTCAAACTGTTTTAACCAGGCATTCATTTTTCGACAACATCATCGTGCAGTATCTTACCTCCATGATCTTGCATCTATTTTCCCCATCTCATTAAACCTCTATCAACCTGTACAGGAAGTTAAAAATCGGCTTTGCATAAACTGCCGAATGACGTTGTTTGGCAAGCAGAAACATGAAATTCAGCCATTTTCGTCATGGAAATTTTTTCTCATCACCTTCCCCAATGTTTGCGATATTTTTAAATTTGCACTTCTTCCGTTTGCTTATTACTACAGAAAGATCATTTTACAACTGGTTCACACCTATGTCCCAATCAGGCTTTATGAGCAGTCGTTACATGCCATTAGCATGTGAGAGGTAATCAATTGCCGTTAGGAGGACTAAAACTATTATGTATGTTGTATTGCTGCCTAGGCTTCTCATGTTGTAAATTATTCACATTGATAGTTCACAACTAAACTTATACATTTCGTGTTTTGTCATGTTTTCGCCTGACTTTATATTTCTGTGTATTCGAATGTTGGCTTCTCCTTCCCTCTCTTCTTTCTCTTACTCTCTGTATTTTTTATGCTTTTCATTCTCATTCAGTCGTTTATTTCCTTTTGTTTGGTGCTGCTGTTTCTATTCGGCTACTGATTTAACTATTCTTTTAGATGGAATCTTCCGTCGGACGCTCTTTGATAAGCCTCGCTAAGCGTGGAATTGCTCGTGCTCATCGTCGTTTGTCTCATTTAGCTCACAAAGTAAGTTGATTCAGATTTTAATTCGAGGCTCATTATTGTTTTCTATTAATCCTCTAATGCGCTTGTTTTTCAGGTTCATGGTGGCAGCAATGATGTTGCTTTGGACGAACCAATTCTTGAAGCGATTTTCGCCAACTTAGATCTAGAGGAGAGAATTAGAATGGGACTTGTATGTTTTATAAAGAAAATAAATTAAAACAGGTGTCCTATTGCAGCTTTCAAGACAAGCCATAAGAATTGTTGATCGTATGCCTATCATTTTACCTTTCTTGATGATCCGATCTGATGGTCGTAACAATATAGAAATAGTTTCGGATAATATGGAGTTGCTAGCTGGTGAGTTGATGTTATTCATTGTTTATCAACCGCTCTTCGTGATCTGCGAAGTAGAAATGAGACATATTTTCTTCTTGCTCAACTCGCCCATGATAGTTGTTTATGCTAATTCATTCCAGGTCATGTTCTTGAGAAGTGTGACGGCTATAGTATGACTGGAAATAAAGTATTTGTTGAGAATGATGCTTTTCCAAATGTTTTGAATCAAATCCGTAAGTTCATAAAAAATGCCTAAACACTTACTTATTTACATTTTTAGTAACACGCATTTCTGGTGTTTCGCAGTTCTGGCTCGATTCAACTGACAACGGCTCCATTGCTCAGATCATCACTGATTATTATAGGAAATTAAACGAGAACAAGTGTTTCAAGAGGTAGCTTGTTCTTTAATTAGCTCATTGTTCAAGCTTATATATTTAGATTACAAATCGAACAGTTAACAGTTGTTGGTACTGGAAAATCATTTGAAATGGATCCTATTTCCTCACTCATCATGCTAGCGCGCAAAAATCTGCAAGCTATTCGTTTCCGTCACTGCAGACTGCAAAACGAGGTAATTAGGATTCCAAAAAACCAACAGTTTGTTTGGAATCTAATTAAATTGCAATACTATTTATTCATTTTACTTTTTTCTAGGAAGAATCTCAGCGATTGTGGTCTGCTATCGGACAATGTCCAAGTTTACAGCAAATTCAGTACGAACCTTGCAAACTTGACAAATGGAGTCGTCCATACATTGCTTCCGCACTTGAAGGAAAAAAACTCGTTTCTCTTATTCTAACGGGAGTTGCTGGACTGAAACCAGCTGATCTTTTCCGTTACTCAAGTGGAGGATGCTTGCAAGAGCTCGCCGTCGTAGGCGAACACCTTCCCGCCACGATCTATGCTGACCCCAAGGCAAAGAAAACCGTAGAAGGGCTTAACAGCTTGTTGATTCAGGTAAATATAAATCTATCTTATATGTAATTTTCATGCTATTTATTATAGATTGAAGATACCTTCAGTTTGGAAGACATTCAATCTCGAAATGAACTCCTTCAAGTGCTCAACACATTACCCAACAGTGGAGTACTTGAAGTTATCCATAGCAACCGTGGATCTGTTTCCGAGTTGGCTCGCCTTTTGAGTTACTGGCTCCACCTTACTCGTGATTCCGGACGTTGCATCAAACTTAAATTGGAAGAATGCTCACAAGAGCGTCAAGATGCTGCAGTTGGTCGTCTCATGCGTAAAAGCAAAGATACCAAGAAGAGCGGATGTAGTAACCATTCCTTAACTTTAACATGTGGAGAAGGAAGTGTCATATTATTGGACAAAAATACCTGGTTTGGAGATGAGCTTTAATTTATTATTTTTATCAAATATTCATGCGTGTTATATGAGCTTTAACATTGTCTTCCCATATTCTGCCTCAAATCTGTGATTCTAACTGTTCCTTATTTTTCTCGTAGGTTTCGATTTTTATAGTCTGATGCGAACAGCTTAACAACATTTCTTTTTTCTGCTGTTGCCAGACTTATTTTATTTCAGAAAAGAAAACAAAAAAAAATCTTGTAAATTGCTCTGTAAGTCGTCGTCAACCTGATTTGTCGACATTATTATATTTCTAATACTGATAGCCATTGTCTCTGAGCCAGCTAGTCATCTGATGTTTTGCAAGTCCAATTTTATGCTCTTCGGTGTTTTTTCCGCCTTCGTTTTCGTTTTTGATCATTTTGAATGCATTGCGCTATACATATTCGGGTGCTAATTTCATATGTAACTATATAGTATTATAATATACAGATAAGGACATGTGTTTAACTAATATTTCTAATATTATATAAATAAATTGTCTTCATTTATTCTTTGATCGACTACAATGTTTTATAATCACATCAAGTGTTTCCCGACCGTGGATGGGGGCAGTTAGGCCAACAAGCGAACCAAATGGGTTTGGGGCTTGGTAGTAGTGGTCGTCGGTTGTTGGAAAGCAAGAAATCAACCTTTCCATTTCCTTTTTTTATTTTATTGTACAATTTGATTATATCGACCTTCGTACATATTCAGCTGAACAAAAAAAGATGAAACATACATCTCAGAGACTTCATCGATGATAATAATGACGAAGTCAGCGAGAACACACAAAAGGTATGGTTGTTAAACAAATGAATTAATTTGTTGGTTGTATCTGGGCTTTTTGTATTGTACGAGAATCCTTGAACTCTCGATGAAATAGACTCTACTTTGTGATTTTGATTAATGACTACGTCTTTTTCTACCGTGGCGTTCCTCAACTAATTAATGATGGGTCATCAACGAACTGTTTCTCTTCTTTTTCTGATCAGATCAGCTATGATCTCTGTTTTGATTCTTTAACCATTGAATTCCATGAAGACATCAACAGCTCCCCAATTGGTTTTTGTTTCGTCGGTCAGCAGTTTTCCGAAAACCACAGATTGAAGGTAGACGATATTAGGCAACGTCAGAGAATGCCGATGTTATCGTTAGCTGACAAAAATCAAGGCAAAAATGATGGAAAAAGTGATTAAGACAAAATGAAGTAAATGTTTTCGATAGAAGGCAAAGAGTGAAGAATTTCATTAAGTTTTCCAATGACGTCAGTATGTACTGAAGATCTTTGAAAGATACGTCTCACTTTGGATTTTCGATCAGAATTGAAAAACACATGAACTGTATGATTCAGCAATCGTTTAGCATTGTTTCTGCGAAATTATGGTGACAATAAAATGAAATTTCTGTTTTTTTTTATTTCTTTTGGTCGAATCGAAGAGTTAAACAGTGATCGTGATGACAGAAAGCATAGAAAATCACAGTTTTCTACATACAAATCAGAAGAAAAAATGTCGCACTAATTACCCGATGAAAGCGGTCAGTACGTTCTCTTCATTTGTCTCTCTCCCTTAGTTATAAACTCTCTCACCTCTCTTAATATTTTCAGGTAGAGATTGAGAGAGAGAGAGAGAGAGAGAGAAAGAGAGATACACACATACTTAACTAATTAGTGTGATCTGAGAACAATGTTTTAAAGAACCTTGGCTCCATCAAGTCTCGTTATGTCCATTTGTTTATTTGAAGCTAAATCTATTTCGAAATTTATGATATAACGTAATCGTTTCTGAAAGTTTATGCTGTGTGAAGCAGGCCGGTTTGATAGATGTCCAGAAGGTCACACTTAAAAAATAGATGATCATATTGACGTGAATGAAGAATAAAAAAAGAAAAATCATCTGTTTTCATGTCAAAGTCGTACAAAAGATGATTATACTCTCGATACTATGTTGAATATTTATTTGTGAATAAGAAAGATAAATAACATTTTTTTTCGAGCAGAAAAAAACAGGACTCGTTGTGAAGGTTCATTTTGGTGTAACCTGGGCAGGTGAAGCTTCTCTCTCTCTGCATCCTTATATGTGAAGCAAATTTGTTCATGAGAATAAAAAAGATGTAGAAACCAGGTGTCCAGCAAATTCAGGATCTTCTACATGTGGGCCTTATAGAGTTCGAAATTAAGCTACGAACATGAAATAAATCGTTCAAGACTGGAATTTCATTGAACTGTCAATAGAGATAATCAACTGATGAAAACAATATTATGCAACGTCTAGTGAAGGAAAGCATCCGTTGGTTCGATGATCGGTTGGTTGGTCGACCGATTTGTTCTCTCCGATCTCATATTTTCTGACTCTCATCTACTTCTTTTCACTACATCTTCTTTATTGTTCGTTCTTTATTCAGGCTATTCTACCTGTTTCATCACAAAAGTAGGCGGAGTTCAAAGGCAGACGAAACTAAACAAGCGGCAGACAAAGAATGCTAAAGTAACACACCTTTTATCAAGAGGAAATCGAAAGAGAATACAGATTTAAGAGAAACTTATAGAGAGAAAACGACGACAGGTTAAACGTCATCCCACCTTCCCCATCACGTCGTCGTCGACTATATCAGTACATCCTCCCCGACCTCTCCCCTCATTTCTCATCAACACTCTGATGGGAGTGCGTGCTCAGGTACCAGGAAAGATCTCCTAAAATTCTGTCTGTAGAATTTGTACAGAAAGGAAGGTTGCTATCGAGCAAGACTTCTTCACTTCAACACACTCAGTTTTTGTCTTTCATTCAATTCATTTTTATTTGTCAACTCTTCTTCATTCTTCATTATTCTCGACTGCTTGTGCAAGTTCATTAGTCTAACTGAGAGCATTTAAGGAAATCCACCACTACAATCAACAGTAGGAATATCTACTTCTCTAATATGCATCTTTCAACGTTATTATTAATTGCTCTTCCAGCTTTGATAATCTGTAAGGATCCTATTGATCAGGTATGTTTACTAAGAATTCCTAATTGTCATCATGATGCTATTGAACATTAGAGAAAAATGAATGGTTCTAACCACTTTGATCTTATTCCTTCTGTCCCCTAATACTATATGATAGACCGATGATGTCTACATCAATCTCTGAACCATTTGATGATTGGACACTTTAGTCTCTTTTTATGAAGTTTTTAGAAGTTTTAAAAACAAAGTTGGTTTCGAGAAAAATTAAAGGGAAGAATCTTTCCTTTTTTTCGTGAAATTCGGGAAGGTTTAATTTCCAGTGTACTGAAACTACTTGCTTGCTGAATACAAGTATCTCAATCTTCCAAGAAAAAAACCCCACATGAAAACTATTTTCTCTTTTTCCCTTCAGTATGATGTCATTCTACAGACAATTTCGTTTCAATTTCTCAAAGAACATTGCAAACAATTGTTTTTATTTGATTTATCTTTGAAGAAAAGATGAAATCCTTTTACGAGTTCTCTCTCACTTAGTAGGACAAGGGTTTATACAACCGTAGCTGTTCATTCATATGCTCCTATGATCGCCTTAAGCGTTCGAAAAAAAAAGAATTTTTAAAAATTTTTTAAAAACTTATTTTGACAAAGAACTTCTGGTTGTAACAATAAACTTTCTATGTGGCACCTCAGTCGTGTTGTCAAAGCTTCCATGTCCTTCCTACTTTTGTTGGGAAAAGCTTTATTCTCGATTATGTCCGTCGTTTTTCGGAACTTGTTTCGCATCGAATCATGTTTGCATGACTTATAAGGATTGGGTGTTTTGAGGCAAAAATTGAATTTTATCGTTTTTGGAGTAGCAAAAAACGATTCAAAATCATTTTATCAATTAAACTCTTGTTTCCAAGGAAGAAAACAATTCCGATAAGTTGATCGTTGAACATTGATTCAAGCGATTACACATCATGGTATATCCCATTCGAAACTTTCTCTCGAATTCAGAATGTGCAAAATGAAGGAATTCTTTTTTCAGGTCGCCAAACAAGGAGCTGAAATAATTAGCAGCTCTCGTTTAACAGGACAAACTGTTCGTCAGTGTTCTTGCCATGAACAAAGAGAGTGTGTGGAGGATATGAAAAAACAGGCTAAAGAATGTGTACCAGCTTGCTTCCAACGTTTCTCTACGGTATGCTTTGAAGTTTTGAAGTTGACTTAAAAACAGAAAACTTGTACAGCTTCCTGCTTGAAATATTACTTTTGAAGTACACGTGGGACCGCCCCCCCCCCCCACAACATGTCCTTACAATGCACTCACTCATTTGAGCAATTTCAGATTACTGATCGTCCAGATGACTTAAGAAAATGTTTTGAACAAAAAGATGACATCGTGCAGAACTTCATGACCTGTATTGAGGATAAAGTTGAAGGGTACAGAATAAAAGAAATCCGCTGTTAACATCATATCTGTTATTCAGCTGTGTGGATCACGATCACGGAAATCAGATTGACAAAACTGATATATCTGCTCTATTTACTATCGGAGAGAAGAAGCTCACTCATCACTCCGCAACGATGGATGTAAACAATCACAATTAAATCTAATTCCTAAAAAAATTCTAATTTTAGGCCATAATTGCTCCAATTCGCAACGTCATTGATGCTGCCGGAGAGTTTGCTCTCTGTGTAAAAGATTGTTTCCTAAAAAAGAATGAGAATGGATTCTGTTTCGATCGCAAAAAGTAACATAGAAAGTTTTGATCAACTCATCAACCGTTCTCTCTTTTCAGCTGTCAACCCTTAATTCTGGAAAACAAGGCTAAAAACTCCTTCAGAACCTGCACTAAGAAAGTTAACTGGAAAAGAGAAGCTGGAGAGCTGTGCGAATGCTCCGTCGAAGCTGGCGTGACGTATGTTTCTTAGAACATTTTGAGCAACAAAAAAAAACAGAAAAAAAAGGAATAAAACGAAAACGTTCATCTGTTACAGAGTACTTCGTCAATACTGCTCAATGTTCAGTTTAATGGGACGTCGTCGTGGCTCTCAATCAAATCGTGGATAAGTACAATCGGGAGCATAATACTCTCTGCTCCTACAAGCATACAAAAGGAAATGTGTTTTTTTATTGTACGGTGTATGTTCGAAACTTTACAAACTTCTCATGTTAATAATCATTTGTATATAACCTCATTAATACATTTTAAGTTTACAAAAAACAGATTTTATACGTATGATCTTAAGCATTGTCATCATTCAGAATGTCGCACAGAAATGGGATGTTGTGTAGTGTGTGTGTGTGTGTGTGTGTGTGTTTCTATCTTTTTGTAAATAAATACAATTTTCTTATTCTTTTTTATTTTTCCTGGTTTAAATAGAGAAATACATGTACATGTACATGCATGCTATATGAGAGTACAGTTGAAAGAATATACATTTTCAAAGACAAGATCATGATCTTCCAAACGAAAGTCAATTACATATTTCACAAGAAAAACAATAAGTTGTTAATCAAGTTTTTTCTTCTTCTTCTTTTTTTTTTCCAAAAAATGACATATTGTCCAGCTGCATCTGCTCATCTCATTGTAGTTAAGAGAATCCAGTAGAAGAAGAAGTTGAAAAAATAAATTTCATTTTTTTTTCATCATTTTTCTTTTTTTTTTTCTTTTTTCTCTCCAAAGTTGATGAAGTATGATGGCATTTTCTTGTTGATCAATGCTGCATGCCAATAAAGACAAATATGGAAAGAGAAAGCGAAACTTTCGAGTGTTCGAAGAAACCGTTCAAGACAATTGGTCATTCTCTACTGGAGTTTCTTGTTTTTCTTGAAACTTCGAAATATTTTTGATATTTTCCTGTTTCCTCTGCTAATCAAAATGATATTCATGCAAAAGTTTATTTATGATATTTTTTGAGAAGTAAAAGTTATCTTTCATCTGACGTCTGCGTCTTCATTTCCGTCGTTTGCTTTTCTTCTGTCATCTTCTTAATCATCCTTATCGACGATACTGACTATGAGGCCAAAACTATCTGTTTTGTTCCAACTAAACACAAAAAAATGACGTTGATCTTTCTCTTTTTCTTTCTTTTTTTTTACTCTCGTCCTTCATTACCGCTACTTCGCCTTCATCTTCAGTTTCTCATCACACACACACAAAAATGACCGAGAATCAGAAGTGAAACAAAAACAAAATTTATGCTTCCGCAAGAAACAGGATTGATCATCAATGATATGAGCTTGTTGTAAGCTTGTATGTTTACTGAATGCCTTCTAATTCCATCTCCTTTTTTTGTTTGCTAAGTTTGGTTATGAAATCTTTCTAGAAACATTCTTTAGGAAAGCTTATACAATGATATTTTCTTATTTTTCCAAATAATGTGTGAATAGGTTACAATTAAATATGTTCTTCTGAATAACCCAAACACCTAGGTCACGCTAAATGAACTTTTCCGAAGAAAATTAACAACTAATTAGTCTCCGCCCATTTGAAATAAGATGTCAACGACGACGACGATGACAGCGAGACAGACGACGAACAGAAGACAATCCCCTCTAATGTAATTGTGAATCTTCTTATCAGTTTCGAAATGTGGCAAACGTTTTTATGCTTTGTAATACTTTCCGTTATGCCAGATATTTTCTCCAGTTTTTGCTTTATCGCTCACTTCATTATCTTTTCTTTTCATTTTTTTTGATGTGATTTCTGTGAGAAGAAAAAATGTGTCAGAGTAATCCAATTAAAGGCTTCGAATGAGGTCTGTTCAACACCTTGCAATTTCATTTCTTTAAAGATTATCTGTTCGCACATCATAAAATCAAAATCACATTCTCATCATCATTTTTTTTATTCAATTAATTCTATTCTTTATGATTGTCATCTTCTTGTTTACAAGAGAAACTCTTTTTTTTTCTCTTTTTCTTAACCCCTCCATCACCAACTATTCTTCTTACAATTCTCGCGGCCACACAGCCACCTTCTCTCCCTGTTTCCACATCTACTTCGTCTTCGTTGTCATCAACTTTGATGATCTTTGTGTTACGTGTTCTGCTTTTCCACCTCCTTACTCTTCTCCTTCTCACATTTCCTTATTTGATAAATAATTGTCGATTGTGTTTCTTGAAGAACAAACAGTTTATTAAAACAAACTAATAAAGAAAACTTGCAATGAAAAGTACAAGCAGTTCAATTTTCGCTTCTAATCTAAGCTCAATACCTGTTCTATCATCGCTCGCTCAACTGTAATTATCTATTTTTTTACCCTATTTCTATGTATAACTACTACTTATTCATTGAATCAAAAGCCTACTGTCAATCATTCAACGTGGATATACTTCATTACCTTCATTTCAGTTAATCAGAAAAGGGATTTCGCATTTTACGTGACTTTTGAAGTATGAAAGACGAAGCTCTACCACTTGGTAGTGGCCGATATGAAACACGATTGGCCGTGGATAGACGACGATTGGAATCAATGATAACAGGTAATTCTATTTTTTCTCCATCCTTTTCTTACTCTCAGCTTTTTTTTTCAATTTCAAAGGTTATTCTGGTTCTGATCAATGACTGTCTCTCTCTCTCTCTCTCTCTCTCTCTCTCTCTCTCTCTCTCTCTTCTTCTCTGATCCTCCAAACTTCTTCTCATTTTTTCACTAAGACTCTCGTTTTTTTGCTTTCCTTTGTTTAGATTGTTCAATCCACTCTTTATTTATGATATTAAAATAATTTTGGGAATGTCTTTCATATTAAATTCTTCATTTCTTTGCAGCTTCAACATCTCCTCCTTATCATGAGAGTTTTTGTTTCGTCAGATGATTCTGTAGATGTCGTTGTTAATTTATTACATGGCTTCTATCATCCATCAAAATATGTTTGTCGTCCACTTTTGTGCGTTTTCTGTTCATCACAGAAGTAACTGAGAGATGAACTGATTTTCTTTTTTATAATCACGAGAATATAAGGATTTGGATGCTTGAACGATTCGGTCAGAGAACGGCAATGAATCAGTGAATTTTTCCTTTTCTTCAAGCTATTTATCGAAAATGATTGATAGATCGACTTATCGGATTCATCTCGTGGCCCAGCACCACATCAGAATGGTCACTTTCGATCTTAAACATTTCTGATTCTCAATCCTGTTCATTAAATCATAAAAAAAATATGAATACAATTAACAGCTGTTCAGCAAACTTCTTTCGATTTCAGGCAAGCCATCATCCGAAGAAGACTATCAACTTCCAAATGCATCATTGTTTTTTGACCAAGTTTTTCATAAACATTATCATATAGTTTATATTTCCATTTAAGGTCATGCAAATATCGGGTGCTACAGTCATTTGGCCAACGCAGCTAAAGATTGGAGCCAAAACAAAACGGGGTTTGTGATAATTTGGAAAAACAGCCTATATTTAACAATCGTACACTATTTTTAGTATATTTTTCGTTATTTCCCAACTAGCTACTTCCAATTTTCGTAATTATGAAAAAATAATCAAAATAATTTCAGATCCTTTTGTAAAACTACAAGGAACAACAGAGCAAATTGAAAAAGCAAAATTGTTGATTATGTCTACTTTACATTGCAAAGTAGGGAGTATTCTTTCTCTATTTATCATTTAAATTATAATTATTTTAGAAAGAGCGGGTTACTCTCAAAGTTGATATTCATCATTCTATTCATTCACATATTATTGGTAAAGGAGGACGGGTTATCCAACAGGTTTTTAAGAACTCTGACTTCAAGACAAACTGATACATTCAACAGATTATGAGAAACACCAAATGCCACATTCATTTTCCTGACTCAAATAAATTCAGGTTTCATAGTCATTTGACAGTTTTTATTAATTGCAAAATAATCCGTATAGTGCTTATCCTAATCGAAGTGATCAGGTTTCAATCTCAGGCGGACCCCAAGATGTGAGTAGTGCTCTACGATTATTACGAGTGAGTCATTATCGTCGTCAGCGAATTTCAATACTTACATCTCAGGCTATATCTCCTATTGTATTAACGACTGAGTTACCATGGATTCGTTCCGGATCTCCAGATAACTCAGGATTCCCAGAGAATTTCTCATTTCAACGAGTTTCTTCCTCAGTTTACCTATGTATCATCCGAGGCACGACGGGAGATGAGATGGCTCTACAACACTCAGTTCAAATGCTGTTACAGCAGTTTTCTATTCCAGTATGTCTATAAGAGATAGAGAATAATCTAAAGTTTCATTAATTATAGAGCAGTTACACACCAAGTTTCAAAACATCACTTCCGCTAAAGGAAGACGTCATAACGTTAATTAAATCACCTGATCACTATAGAAAGTTAGAAGAAAACATTAATATCTAATACTGAACTTAAACTGCTATAGGTTAGAAAAAGTGATGGAAGAGAAGAAGGTAACACTGATGATCAATAACGCTCTGGCTCACATCTCTGGAACATATGAATCTATCATATATTTTAGGAAGTTTTTAATCGTAAGTTTCTCAACCTATATTCTGCTGTGAACCTACATTTCACTTTCAGGGATATTCCCCGGCTTGTTTAACGTTTGATGTACCATTGGCGTTTACTTCCAATATTGCGCTTGTTGAAAAAACTTACGACGTTCTCATAACAACGAAGAAAAGAACGAATCAACCTGGAGCTATTGTATAGCATGCTAATTAGTTCCCTGTTATATATCTTGTTTTTTCAGTCAATAATGATGAAAACAGCAGAAGCTTTAATATCCACAATGTTCAAAGCTCGTGATGTTTTACTTGGAAATGATGGAAATGATGATTACTTTGGAGAGAATGATTTTCTAATGCCAATAGGTAAGCATCTTTCCTATGTTAGCAACGAATAGTTTTTCAGATGATTATGTGATCAACACCAATCTTTCGGATACTCCGTCTCTTTCCTCTCTATGTTCTCTACCATTTTCCTTGAGCTGCTTGAGTGAAACACCAAAATCTCCTGATCCTGACAATTCTCCACTAGCTGCATCTATTTTAAAAGGAGTCAAAAATATTGAAAGTAGAGGGTAGGAAACTAAACATCTTTAATTTTTTTAAATTTTTTTTAGTGATAGGTGGCTAAAACGTGCATCGACAACTTCTCGCGAGGAAATGCTTGCGAAGGCTGCTCAAGGTCAGCCTGGGGAAATATTTTCCTAGCAAATTGTAGTTTCAGCTTTGTTTGATGAGCCGAGTGGAGATAGATACCCAACAGATCATTGGGCTGGATATGGATTCAGTTGTTCTCTTCCGGCTGAACTCTTGAAAGTAACTTGAACCAAATATTTTAAAATGAAGCAAAAATCTTCAGAATTTCATGGAAGTGAATGAGCACAAAATAGAACCAGAAAGGTCTGTCGTGTTCGGAAGAGAGAAGGTATAACAAGCAATACAATATTCATCACAAAGAAATACATTTTTTGGATTTCAAACCGTGGACTATGTTCCGTTCGTGAAGAAGATGAATTGTCGGATTTTTCGGGATCTTTCAGTAGTACATCTATCAACTCTGGTCATCGAAACTATGAAAACAGAGATCTGCGTAAAGGTAATATTTGATTTTATATATAGTTTGTTGGAGCTAGAGCTTTCTTTCAATGTTCTCGTGCAAGTTTTGGATTGATTCGATTTTTCTTTTCTTAAGCAGTAGAAGATAGTTTCTGTAGAATTGTGTTAACTTTTAAGGGATTTTTTCTGCTTCAACTTCTATATTCGACGTCCAGCCACCTCTGATTGGAGATTTTAGTTGGGACATTCGAATCGTAAACGATCCAGCAATGGTTTTAGCTCAGCTTGGTTGCAGTGAATATTTAGCTCAGATGCGAGAGCAAGAGGTTTGATCCGTGCTTCTTGTCCCTAATACCACCAAACAGACACGATTTTTCTCTCCAAAATATTAATCTAGTTGGCTTAAAATAATCAAAAATATTCTTAACAATCTTCAAAATGCATCAGAAAACAACCACACCAAACCATATTCAAAGAAGTTTCTATTCATTTCAGATTGATATGCACGCATTCTTACTATTAGATGAACAGAACTTGAAAGATATCGGAGTCTCCACTATTGGTGCTCGTAAAAAAATACATCACGCAATCTTAAGTTAGTTTCTTATAATCACACTTTCATCCTCATTTCGTTCAGAGTTACGTGAGTCGGCTCGTCAGCATGGTATTGCCGTATAATTTGTACATTCAGCTGTTAACAGCGATCAACCCCTCAGTATGACTTCTCTGGTTTGCCATGACAGCGACCGGTGCTTTCAAAAATCAAAGCCCACAATGAGAAAATAAATTTTTCCAACTTCTTCCTCCAAGAATCTCATACCATCAAGAAATGTCGTTCAAACACAAAATTTTAATTTACGAATGCTAACTATCATGAAACAACAAAAACATAACATGATTGAAAATGAGAATCATTCTTAAAATATTATTCGTAAAGGAAAAGTGATTTCTTTCATTAGCTCTACAAGTATGCCGACGCGTACGAAATACGGTTCATCCAAATGACAGTTCGCTATTCAGAGGATTTTCACATATCTCTGGTTCCTTTGCAGTATTGCGTGAAAATCTTTCGCCTTTTACTAAAGATTTCCGTGCATAGGGACGCATATGAGTGTTTTCTATTTTTGGATTCCCTTCGAAAGAACGGGAAATAAGATCTCAACTCGATTAGATGGATATGGTTCATGAACTGTGCGTTTGTAGGCATATTTAGTTGTACAGACCCATCCACGCGAGTGGAATACGGTCCAACAGATTGACGGTTATTCTAGGCTGACCATAGAAGTATATC